CATTAGTTCAGGAGATCTGTTGGCAGTGGAGCCAAGATATCTCCAGTAGTCCTAATCAGGTCTTGGCAGTCATTTCTTCAAATGTCCCAGGTCTTATGTTAACACCACTTTGCAGTTTACTCAGTCTCTGTCTTCAGGATCTGGTAGGAATATCCACTGGAGTCTGAAATTTTTTGGTTGACATTGTGCGGAGATGCTAGTGTGTGCTGAAGAGCTTTTCATAAAACAAATCTCCCTTACTTCTAATGTTGCTGTCAAACTTTAAAGCTTAAACATTAAGAACTGTGGATTTCTGCCAGGCTACCTTGTGAAATCTAACCACTCATGTATTTGGGCACCTCTTCTTACCTTATTGCCTAATTCAAAGATCTCATTTAATGCCAATAGTTTGGATAGGAAGCCCGGGAAATTTTCACATGCTGGATAAACATTGAAAATTACAATGGTTACTAGTCCACAGTGATGCATCGTGATGAGGTGAGTAACAATACTTGCTAGTTTGATGGGACAAAGAATAACTTGTGCCAGCATGCCTGTTTTAGGGAAGTTCAGGTAGCTGTTCAAATCCTTGGTCATCCTGGGAACACTTACCATTTTAAAAGGTTGAGGCCTTGGCTTTTTTGCTTTTGTACTTACGAATGTTTTACTTTTTTCTATAAACCTTGTCAGTCTTATGATTTTTACCAGCTTCAAATTAAAGCTAAAGGGCTTCTCCGTAACAGTTGAAACTGTGAAGAAGGTAGGGGGAGAGGGGAAGACGGGGGGAACATGGCTCTTAAAAAAATTCTATCTAGATACTGACAGGTGACATAAATGAGAATTGTTCAGCTACAATGCTGCTTGAAAACTGAACTATATCCCTGTTTTCAGGCTTATAGAAACTCTTGCTATCTATGCTAGAAATTTCATAGCTAGGTAAAGAGTAATTTTGATTAAAGATAATTGTATATAGGGCAATAATTTCTTTGAGGAATCTGTTGGTTGCAGGCTTGTATTTTTTACTCATGTTTTTTCCTAACATAGCAAAAGGCAGGCTATTAAATTAAACTTTTTAGGCAACTAAGGATTAACTGTAATGAAGGTGGATTTAACCCCTTAATACCAATTAGTTATGGAGGCTGTGTGCTTAAATCCCTGAGGATCCCTTCTAAGTTAAAAAGGTTGCCCTACTGCAGGGCTACTCAACTTTGGAAGCCCTGGGGGCCACCGTGATACTCACAGCACATGCTGAGGGCCGCAACTTAAGTGTGATTTCATATACATGCAAATAGCTTATTTTACACTGATGGGCATGAATACAAAGATTAAGGCAAGACTACACAACACACAGGCCTCATTTAAGTCAGTTCTGCTGATGATGATAAAATGCAATATTTACCCAATTTCCCCCCATATGACAGCATGTTTAATGAGCAATGGCAGTCCAGGAATTTAACTACAGTAAACCTCCGATCATCCGGCATCTTTAGGACCCAGGGGGTGCCGGATTATCAGATATGCCGAACTATGGGGGGGGGGGCCTATGAGGGATCATGGGTGGAGTGGGGGGATGCGCCCCTTGGTGCTGTGGGACCAATCCAGCGGCACCCCAGCTGCTCTGCCTCAGACTTCCCCAAGTCAGCCGCTGCTGAAACTGACCAGCGGCTGACTCCAGGAAGCCGGGGTCAGTTTCAGCAGCGGCTGAATCGGGGAAGCCCGGGGCAGAGCAGCTCCAATTGTCCGGAGGGCTCCGGCTGCCCTGGGCACTTTTGGGTTCCAGATGGTGCTGGACCATCAGGAGTGCAGGACCATTGGATGCCGGACCACTGGAGTTTTACTGTACTAAAATGCATATCAACAGAAGACCATTATATTGACTCTTTTTTTTTGTTTTGGTTCCCACTGCAGGCTGCATTTTGAGCCCTGCATAAATCCAAACTGCACGCATGCCGCAAACAGACTGTGGGCCACATGTTGAGTAGCCCTGCCCTACTGTCTAAATAGGGAGTTGTGAAGAAACTGTATTATGTATGAACTTCTCCACTGAATATCTAACAGTAGCTGCATTCAGCACTAAAATTTATTCTGAAAATAGTTGATTTACTTAATTACGTTAACACTTAAGATGACTTTAGCAGAACATTAACAGGAAAAGATTTTGCTTTTGTCTTTTTCATTTGACATTCCTTCCTGTGTACAGTAACTTAGTGTTTTCCCCTATAATTCCTGGTTGTCAGATTCTTTTGCTGAAAAGACCCAATGAAAAACATGGGTGATATTACTCTCTTTTAAAAATTAGGAAAATGTACTTTAGTATGAACTGAATTTTGAAAGTAAATGGAAATAAACCTCACATGGACAGTGTGTGTCTACCAACATTTTAACACTGCCTCTCCCTGCCCTCTTCCAAAACACATACAAGATTTAGTTCTCAGCATGCATGCATTTGACATCACTAGTGCTGTTGCATTCTAGCCTGCCTCTGGTGAATCAGAGCAAGGGAATTCTGTGAGAGGAAAATTAACCTTTTTAGCAAAACTTAATAGCACTTCTGTGCAACTTGCCTCTTCTACCCCAGTTTCGGTTAACTTGATCTGAATTTTTTGCTTTGCAGTTTTCCTTCAAAGGAAATTGACCAACTTCAGGGTTGTGACAAAATGAAATCAAGGAACTTAATTTGTGTTGCAACAGTGATTCTCTTGCATTTAACATTTCCCATCCCGGAGATACAGCAAAGTTAAGAATCACAGTTGAACACTCAGTTCCAGGAGTCAGAAGCTGGCTGTTCAGTCTTAACACAATCATTATCAGGCACCCTTCCATGTAAGTGATTCAGGAGCAGTTGTTTCTGTAGGGCACTGTCACTTGTGGCTTATCTACAAGTTAAATTAAACTATTTTGAATGACTTACTCACTTTTTTTCTTAAAAATCTAAAACTAGAAGACTAACCGTATTGAAATACATTATGTTTACGTGCCTCAGAGGGGTAGCCATGTTAGTCTGTAGCTTTAAAATGAGTAGTCTTGTAGCACCTTGGAGACTAACAAAAAATAGATAGATTAGATAGATAGTATAATGAGCTTTTGTGGGCAAAAAAAAGTTTCTCCACTCATTGGAAGAAGTGAGTTTTGCCCTGGAAAGCTCATTTTATATCTACATGAATATAATTTTTTGTTAGTCTCTAAGTACTATAGGACTACTCCTTTTATTATGTTTACATGACTTCCTAAAGACTTGAAAACAATATTGCTTCAGAAGTCCTTTATTATTTGACAAGCATATATTCATGCTAAACAGTAGAAATCATAAGTTCCTTAAACTTCCATCTTTGCTTTTCTCAGATAAATTTTCTTTTTGTTTCCATACTGCTTACAATAAACCAGAGCAGATTTTTTTGGGGTGTGTATGGATGTGTGGTGTGTGTGTGTGTGTGTGTTAAACTTCAGGCTTCTTGGATGCATCTGAGACACCGGCCACTACTCTCTGGTCTACTTAAGTTCAAATCCCAATAACATTTTTACTATTCCTGCCCATAGTAACTGCAGGAAAGGTCCTGAAGTAGCATTGTAGCATGTGTTCATTGGGTCCCTCTGGCTCTGTACTGTATCTGTCATGAAAATCTTTTTGGTCACAGGTATTCCTTTGCACTTTTTTTTTGGCGGGGGGAGGGAGGGCTTCTGGTTGTGGTGTAGTTTTGAGTGATGCATATTTGGGGAAATAATCCTGAAATTTGGTGTCTGTAGTCAGGATTGTTTTCTTTTTCTTTACTGTTGAAAGGGTTTCCCTAATGCTTATTAAACTCTAGACATTACCACATCATACATGTTGAGCTGGGTTTGGGTCTCATTATTCTAGGCTGGGGTGGGCAATAACATAGTGGCCATTTGCAAGGGTTAGCCCCTGGTGGGCTGCAGCTGGTATATTTACCTGCATTGCTGCAGGTACTGGCATTACAGCTCCTGTTGGCTGTGGATCACCATTCCCAGCCAATGGGAGCAGCGGGAAGCAGCATGGACCAGGACATAGCTTCCCACAGCCTTCATTGGCCATGGATCACTGGTACTTATGTGGTGTAGGTAAATATAGAGGTGAGGGCCCACCATGAACTATTCCTGGCTGACAGGATCTGGCTCACAGACCAGTATTTGCCCACTTCTGTTCTAGCAACTGTTAAGTCCTCTTCCAAACAATAAATTGTAATTGGCTTACTATTAGTCATTCTTTTAATTGGATGAAGGGTCATGTTTTAATGACCAACTTCCTTTAAGTGTGTGACTCTTCTGACTAGGAGAGAATACTGTTGGCAGACAGAGGCTATAAAGCTGACTTTGTGCTAACCCAGCCAATGTTTGTCCACAGTATCGTGTAAAAAGAAGGCAGATCATCCAATAGCTATGGTTGATGTAAAGTAACAGTTTTCTGGCTTGCAACATTGCATGCTAGAGAGGGATAACTTTTTAATAAATGCAACGTATGTTGCTCTAAATATTGCCCAAAGCTTTCATTTCAGGGATTAGGGTGAAAGCTGGTGGAAGAAAAGACAAAAGCTGTAAAGCACAAAGATCCAGGAGATATGTGACACAGGGTTGACCAGTGTGTCTGATTTCTTTCAGTAACTCCTAGGTGAAGTTGTACAGTATGCCAACTACCACACACAAACATTGGCAAAGGGATTGTAACAGTGCACAAGCCACAGACCAGGCAGAGAGAGGTAGGGAGAAAGGAAAGATTGCTGTAGAAATGTATAGCTGAGACACTGAAACTTGTTTGCTCCAAGATCATAGAGGCAATCTCTGGCAGGGCAAGGAATTGAATCCAGATCTTTTGTTCAAGGTGTTGGTGCACCGACTCTTCTGTCTCCCATCACCTTGACAAAATCCCAGACAAAAGTCTATTCTGAAGATGGGTATCCAGCCCAGTTCCATGACTCTCCATTGAATTTAGTTTGTTCGGAGTTCTTCATCGGCACTTAATGCTGGCTATTGCTTGTCATTTGTAAAACTGTTATGTTTTTCTTTAGGTTGATCCCAAAGATTACATGTTTTCTGGACTTAAGGATGAAACTGTGGGTCGATTACCTGGAAAAGTTGCAGGGCAGCAATTTGTCATTCAGGAGTGTGAGAACTGTAATATCTACATCTTTGACCATTCCGCTACAATCACTATTGATGATTGTACAAACTGCCGAATATTTCTAGGACCTGTAAAAGGCAGTGTCTTTTTCCGTGACTGCAAAGATTGCAAATGTGTAGTAGCCTGCCAACAGTTTCGCACCCGGGACTGCAGAAAGTTGGAAGTATTCTTGTGCTGTGCCACACAACCCATTATTGAGTCATCCACAGGTATGAAATTTGGCTGTTTTCAGTACTACTATCCAGAGCTGGCTCTGCAATTCAAAGATGCCGGATTGAGTGTCTTCAATAACACATGGAGCAACATCCATGACTTTACGCCTGTGTCGGGAGAAACTAATTGGAGTCTTCTATCCGAAGATGCCCTGGTTCAGGATTATGTCCCCTTTCCTATATCTGAGGAACTAAAAGTAGTCAGAATTTCTACAGATGCCATGAAGAGCATAATTCCAATAACACGGGGTGGGAGGCAGAAGAGCAGTGAAGAATCATGTCTGGCAGTTTTCTTTGCTGGAGACTACACAACAGCAAATGCTAGAAAGCTAATTGATGAGGTAAGACACTTTTCTGTTTCCAGCTTCTTGACTTTGCAATTTCATGTCTCATGAGAATTTGAAATTTATTCCCAATCTTTCTGAAGTGAAGATACTGAAGTTCATACTGGCTTTCTTCTGGATGTCTACTAAAATACCTTTCGGTATCCAATTTTCGTGTGTTGAAAAACACGTGAAACTGTTATCCCCACACTTGTTTTTCATAATGCATTTTCTTACACTGATCTAGGTATTTATAATGTGACTGTAACGACCATCATACCATGACCTCAGACTGTTAGATCTTATTCTGATATCTATCAATTTGAGGGATTTATGAGAGCACAAAGTTGCTTTGAGTGAAATGTTATATGCACAAATAACTTACTTTTCCTTGGGGAGACTACAGTTGGAAGCTTTCTTGGAAGTATGGCTACAGTATCTTTACATAACTTCTCCATACAGAGAATTTTTTCCTTTTTTAGGACTAAAATCATGAACTTGCAGATGACTTCTTTTTAAAAAGAGAAAACCTTAACTAGTTGATGAAAAGCAAATGCTGCAGTTGTGAGTTAGAGATGAGCCTGATTCAGGTTTTGGTGTCTGCTGTGGCTAAAGAAAACCTGGTGATATTCAACACCTTTGCAAGTCAATCAGTTCGCTTCAGTAGCATTTTTAGGAGCTCAACACCATGTACATTTTAAATTTGAGACTAGTAAAAAAAAAAAAAACTTAGTTCCGGGTAGGTGACTAGAACAGAAGCAAAGACTGGATGAATGGAGTGAAGAGATAAGTAAAACTAAATCAAGTGTGATGACAAAAGTGCTTTCCCTTAGAAGCTAGGGAAGGAAAGAATAAACTGAGAAAGCTGACTACATTGTCTCATTTTTTATTATTTGGAGGGAAAAATTGTGTATTTGGACTTCTGCTTTCCTGACTATATATTAATGGTATTAAAAGCCATTCTTAACATCAGTACCTTGTTTCTTAACAGATGACTGGCAAAGGCTTTTTGTTGGTTCAGACTAAGGAAGTTTCAATGAAACCAGAAGATGCTCAAAGAGTATTCCAGCAAAGTGCATCTGACTTCATCCCTTTGCTTGAAAAAGGTACACATACATAAAATATCACTTAAAAGGTCCTTTATTTTCTTCCCCTCTGATATGTAAAAAAACTAAGTTTCTAGTTCAGCTTAGTTGATGTATTGCCTCTGGCTGTAGATAATCACACTTCAAAAGAAGTGGGGAAATAGTTTGAGCCGCAGGAGCAGTACAACATATAGATCATTGAAATCAATGGAAGCTGTGTTCGTTTACTTCAGACTTAAGATCAGGCCCTGAATGAAGTGGTGAATTCCTTCCTGATCTCTCCAGACAACGTTCCCAATCCTCTGTTACACAGGCTTAGTGAGGTAGCTTTCTAGTAACAGGACCATATGTGTCTCTGGCTATGGCAACATAAACATCTGAGAGACCTGGTACTCTTAGCTTAGGAAATAGATTTGTGTTTTTAGGTCCAGATCTTCCATGTTCAGTCCTAGCTGTGGGCAAACCATAAGGGTGTTGTGTTTAAATCTGTAATTCAAAAAGAGGAAAGCTAGAACTTGGCATGGCAGACCAAAATAGAATCCCAGTTTGTCAGTAGCCTGGATTAGCTACTGTTAAAGCATTTAAAACTCAAGAGACCACTGGCTTCCACGTTACTGTTCATAATTTCAAGTGCTGAAGTAGTCCCATTGTACGTGTTCTTCCTTCTTTTTCAGAGGAATAAAATACTGTCGTAGTGAGCCATGACGAAAGCTAAAATCTGTACTCAACACTTAACATATAAACAGTTTCATGTTGTTTTCTACAAACTTAAAATAGCAAAAGCAGTCATACTTACATGGCAGCTCAGGCCTGTTGGAGACCTGATGCTTGGAATTGAGGGAGATCCTTGCTTCCCCCTCGAGAGGAGTGCATGAGGGCCAGTTGATCTGAGGCTTGTGTCCAATCTTATGAACCATGCAACAATTTCTGAAGGACTAGTCCTAATTAACTTTAAGCCATCTTATAGCTATCAATTAGTACATATGAACAGCCATACTGGGTCAGACCAAATGTCCAACTAGTCCAGTATCCAGTCTTACAACAGTGGCTAATGCCAGCTTCCCTAGAGGGAATGAACAGAACAGGTAATCATCAAGTAATCCCTCCCATCATTCCTTCCCAGCTTCAGACAAATAGAAGCTAGGGACACTATTCCTGCCCATCCTGGCTAATGGACCCATCCACTGTGAATTTATCTAGCTCTTTTTTGAATCCTGTCATAGTCTTGGATTTAATATCCTCTGGCACGTAATTGCATAGGTTGACTGTATGTTATATGAAGAAATACGTTGTTTTGTTTTAAACCTGCTCCCTATTAATTTAATTTGGTGATTCCCCTAGTTCTTGTGTTATGGGAAGGAGTAAATAACTGTTGACTCTTTCCATACCAGTCATGATTTTATAGACCTCTGTCACATCTCCCCTTAGTCATCTTTTCCAAGCTAAGATAAGTTTTATTCATCTCTTTCCAAGTTTTATTCATCTCTCCTCGTATGACAGCTGTTCCATACCCCTAATCATTATTGTTGCCCTTTTCTGAACTTTTTCCAATGCCGAGATCTTTTTTTGAGATGAAGGGACCACACTTGCACACAGTATTCAAGTGTGACCATGGATTTATATAGAGGCAATAAGATAGAAAATATCTTTTTTTTTTTTTAAACGATGCCTAACATTTCATTTGCTTTTTTTCCACTTTCACTGAACATTGAATGTGTATTTTCAGAGAGCTATCCACAATGACACTCAAATCTCTTGAGTGGTAACAGCTAATTTATTCCCCATCATATTACACGTATAGTTCGGATTATATTTTCCAAAATGCATTATTTGGCAGATTAATTATAATGTTGATACATGCAATTTTGTTGCCCACTCACCTAGTTTTAAGAGCTCCTTTTGAAGCTCTTCGGTCTGTTTTGGACTTAACTATCTTGAGCAATTTAGTATCTACCAATTTTATCACCTCACTGTTTGCCCGCTTTTCCTGATAATTTATGAATGGGTTGAATAGGATTGGTCCCAGTGCAGACACCTGAGGGACACTACCCTTTTCCTGATAATTTATGATTGGTCCCAGTGCAGACACCTGAGGGACACTACTAGTTACCTCTCTTCATTCTGAAAACTGCAGATCTATTCCTACTCTTGCTTGTTTTCTTTTAATCAGTTATGAATCCATGAGAGGACTTTCCCTCGTATCCCATGACCACTTACTTCGCTTAAGAGTAAGAGTACTGAGACTCTTATTCGTGCTATAAGGTTTCCCTTCATTTTCTGGCCTTTTCATAATCTATTGCTTTTTCAAGAAATTCTAATGGAAAACTGCTATATTAAATTGTTTCTACAGCAGCTGTCTTTCAAGCATGGATTTTCAGATATTTTCCTTAGTACACATCCTTCTTTTTCAGACAACTTTTGTATTTTCACAGCTCCATTAACTACAGCTTTAATCTTTATACTGAAGGATAGTGGCGCGCAATAGAAACTCTGCTTTATGTGAACAAAACTCAAGGCTCTGTAGGAGTTAAAGAAAATAGCAAATGCGTAATGTTCCAATTAAGATGGAAATCTAAAACACATTATTAGAAGTGAAACTTTTTTTGTAGGTCCTGTTGTTGCTTTGGAGTTTAATGGAGATGGTGCTGTAGAAGTATGTCAAAGCATTGTAAATGATGTCTTCGGTGGAACCAAGGTGAGCTATATTTTCTCTTATGAGGAAATAATTATTATAACCGGAATCCACCTGAAAAATATTCCATGATCTAGAACAGTGGTTTTCAAACTATGGATTGTGACTCGGTACTGGGTCATGGAATGTCAGACACTGGTTCTCATTGCTGCGGGGGGATCAGGTTATCAGCAGGGGTCCTACCTCCCTCCTCCTGGCACCACAGACTGTGCTGTGCTCTAGAAGGGGTCAGTAGCAGGTCCAGCTCCTACATGTGTGTGGGGGTGGGGGGAGCACACAGGGCTCCACGCACTGCCCCTGCCCCAAGCACTAGCTCCACTCTCACATTGGCTGAGAACCTGCTGCTGGTTGCTTCTGGGGCACAGCATGGTGCTAGGAGAGGCAAGCAGCTTGCCTTAGCACCCCTGCTGCACTGCTGACCAGGAGTCACTCAAGGTGAGCTCCTCTTGGCATCCCCAAAGCTGGAGCCCCACTCTTACACCCCAAAGCTCTCATCCTCAGCCCCACTCGGGAGCCCGCACTCTAGTCAAATTATGTTGGGTCTCAGGCATCCACAATTGTCTTCAACTGAGTCAGAAGGAAAAAAAAGTTTGGAAGCCACTGATCTAGAAACCTTATTTTTCATTTGCTAAGGTTTTATCAGCCAGAAAGACCTGAAAATGTTGGTCTTTTATTTTTCTTTAGAAACTTGCATAGAACTTAATTTAGTTTGAATAAAAGCACAGTCACCATGGTCAGTAGGAAACTTTCCCTGGTGAGGAAAGAGAGGGTGTTAACTCAACTTCCTAAGAATTTAAGCTTTCCATTTGAAACTTGTGGTTGCACAATTTACTTAACAGAGATCTAGTAGGGTAGGGCTATGTTCTGAACTTACAAAGTGGGCCACACTGCAGCAATCTTTCCTTAATTCTTGGCTAATTAGTAGGATGAGACTACAGGCAGTCCCCAGCAGACCAGGGAGATGGGGAGCAAAGCCTCGGAGCACGCCAGCAGTGGGACAGCCGCGGTGTGCCTGGACTGTCCCCCTGCCCGCGTGCTCTGCGGCTTTGCTCCGCGTCTCCCAGGTCAGCAGACCAGGGAGACGGAGCAAAGCCGTGGAGGACTTGGGCGGTCCTGCCACCCCCGTCTCCCTGGTCTGCTGGGGGGGGTGCAGCTGGTGCCCCCCACCCAGCAGACCAGGCTTTTCTTGCCTACCCCTGGGGTAGAGCCGCTATGTAAGTGGAACTGGTGTCCAGATTCAGCCGCGGTTGAAACTGATCAGTTTCAGCAGTGGCTGACGCCCGGTCCGACTTACATACAGATTCAACTTAAGAACAAACATACAGTCCCTATCTTGTACGTAACCCGGGGACTGCCTGTACTGATTTTTCTGAAAAGTGATCAGTAGATAACTTTCAGGGTTCGCGACTGTTTTACTAATTCTAGGTGATGATCTAAAGATTCACCAAGGTTTTTCCTATAACCTAAATATCCTCTAAGTTAAGCTTTCTCCTAAGTCAGCGTATATTAGTGCATGACAACACTACCTTTCTTGGGTCAGCAGAGTGGAACTTCACCAAAGTGCTTCCACCATCATAAAACTGGCAGTGTGGGTATCTGAGAGCCTGGTCTCCCTGCTGCTGCCCCACAGGTTCCTGGGTGTCTGATGGGCTGCCATCTCCCACTCCTGTTCCCTGCCAAGAGAAGACACTGGAGACTCGCCACTCTTGATGAGCACCTCTCCCTCCCTGCAGTCTGGGTCCTAGCCTGGGGAGGCAGGACCATTGGAGAGGGAAGTTGCAAAACTCAAGTTGTGCAAAGTAGATGTCTTTGAAGGCAATTTGTTAAAAATCGGTATTATTTGCCAGGGAAGTGATATGGCAGTTTACCCGTAGCCTTAAAATAAACATTTGTTTCCCAACACAAAGCTGGATTTTACAGTCTATTTTATGCATCCCAGGAGGAAGTTAAGATGTGATTAAGGGTAGTGAAGGACATCTACTTTGCACAACTTGAGTTTTTATAAAATTAAAAATATTGAAACTACTTGGATGTTACAAAAGCAGCAGCCACTTCTGCCAAGAAAGTATTTCTGAAATTTCAAAAACATCAGAAGGGGCAAATATGGGAGAAGAGGAAATACATGCATTTCTGAATTTTGTGTGGCTTAAAAAAAAAAAAAAAAAAAAAAGCCGTTGGGCTTGAGAGGAGGAAGGTGTACTTACCGTACCTCCTTAAGTGAGTTTGATACCCAATACCTCTTCTTCCCTTTACATGATGATTGAAGTAACTTTTAAATAGTCTAGACTACAATTTTAAAACTATATTTTAGGGTGAACTGCTTAAGTAGGAGCACTTGCTATAAAGGAAAGACACTTTTGCTCTCTAGATGAAGTCTCAGATTTCTTTACTCAATATACTGAATCTTGAAACTGTTCTGATTTCCTTTCAAAAATTAATTCTACCTTTTGTTCTATAAATAAATCTTTGGAAATACCAGTGCTTCTGTAACAGGGCTTTTGAATGAGCTGAGATGACTTGCCTGTGTATACTGACAAGTAACTACTTGTTTTAAAAAACAGGTTTTTGTGTCTGAGAGCAAAGCATCAGCTTCTCGAGATGTGGACAGCTTCTACAACTTTGCTGACATGCAGATGGGAATGTGAAGTGTGACTTGAAGAAGTTATTGAATATGGCCTCTCACCACTTGGATGTGGCTTTGGTTTGATTGTGCAATGCTGCATTAGCAGCTAAGTGTGTGTGTTTTTATTAAACTTTGTATAGCATATGCTTTTTATAAACGGAATTGGTAAATTTAATATTGCATCATGTGGATTAAATGTATGTCTAATACTTGTGTATTACTTACACAAGATAATTTCTAGTAATTTATGATTATAGTGACATTTTAATTATATTTTGATGTGTGAACATTCCTTAGATCTTTTAATTTGTAAGATTTTTAGAAAGTAGGTACAATGCTAGAACAAATTTTAATAGATTTTTTTTTAAAATATGTAACTGAAATATGCTACTGCCAGGATGTGTCAGTGGTATGTTACAGATGGTAACTTCTAGAATTCAAAACATTCCCATATGCAAAATTATCTTAATCAAGAAAAATGTCATGTCTAAAATTTCTTAAAGTATTTTCTCTTGGAAATAATTCTGGTACAATCTTTGTATAAATAGAAACATCAATTGCACCAAGGTGTACTAAAGACACTCACCTCACTCGTGCAACTGGGGGTGCCAGGATTCCCCTCTTGCTCCAGCCCCACGGCAGGGAGGAGGTTTGCTAAGCTCACGGCTTTCCCAGAGCCAGATTAGCATTTCTGGGGGCCCAGGGCTGATAGATTGTGGGGGCTCCTAGGCTCTGGGGTGGGACCAAAAATGAGTTCAGCGTGTGGGAGAGGGCTGCCAGCTGGTGGGCTGGGAGTGCAGGGTCTGGGAGGGAAGGTGAAGGGGTTGTAGGGTCCGGGAGGGAAGGTGAGGAGGGTAGGAGAGAATGTGGTACATACTTGGCACAGCTGAGTCATGGGAAACGTGGTTCTGTGAGACCTTGTGTCTGCAGGCACTGCCCCTGTCTCTCCCATTGGCTGCTATTCCCAGCCAATGGAAGCGGCAGAGGAAAAGCCTGTAGGTGAATGTTTCCCTGTGCTGCAGTTGCCCCCCTCAGTTAGGGGGGAAGGGAACAGCATGCAGAATCACTTCCTTTCCCTCCACCAGGTAGAGCTGGCCTCATGGGGGCTTTAGTCCCCACTCTGCACTGCTTATCCCCTCTGCGGGAGGAGCCCTGAGCCTTGTGGGCTGGATCAAGGAAAGCCTGGGCTATAGGTTCTTCATCCCTGATGTAGTGGCTCCTGTCTCATACCTCTTCTGGGCTAGTATAATAAGCCTGAGGCTTCCTTACAGTCCAGTGGCCAGAATGGATCTTAAATGACTACCATAGTTTAGTTACACTGGAACCTCACCACAGTCTAGAAACACGGGTGGTTTTATAGCAGTGTTTGGTTGCATGCCCCTCTACTGAGACTGCTCCTCCATCATGGTGAAGGTTATGGGCACAATTCTCTAAGAAGTGGCTGCAGATACTGATTGACTGTAAAACTAATATTAGTCAGTTGCTTCTAGAAACAGACCAAGAAAGCACTAATTTGAGACTCAAGGAATGTCACATTTTTTTTACTTTAGCTGTTTGATTTGTAGTGTTTTTTGTTTTAAATAAATGAGCTATAGAGTATTCCTGGTGACACTGACTGGATACATCATTGCAGCATAAGAGCCTTCACTACAATATGATGGATCTTAATGCATACACATGAAAATATTTAATCAACATGCAGATTGAGCTTCTGTAAGCTTACAAGAGCGAAGGCTGGCATTCCATTGGCCCTCTGTTCAAAGTAGGATGTAAAACCCCAGTTAATCTATTAACCAGACATTAACATTTAAATGGTTAACCAACTAAGCAGGATCCGGGCAGGGGACTGCTCCACAGGGCTCCTACTTCTAGCCCTGTGCTGGGACTGGCTGCTGGCTCCCCACCCCCTGGGGCTGGAGCAGTCCCCTGCCCATGGCAGGTGAGGAGCTGCTCCAGTCCCCTTCTCCCAGTTGCCAGTTAAACTTTCACATCCCTAGTTCAGACATCAGAGACTTAAGTCCAGTAAATTTGTGACAGTTTATCAGCTGACTGCTCTCATGCCATCTGAGGTGCAAAACCACAACTCTTTAGATTAAATGTGGCTTGATGGGGTAAACATAGCCTCAGTGGTACTGGGAAGCTTACGTCTGCACTGCTGGCTCTGCTGGCAGTGAGTATGCAAATGAGATGTGTATTAGCATATTGCAGTGCTTCATTTGCATAATTTATACAAGCTGTTTTTGCGGGGGGCGGGGGAGTAGTGTGGATGTTTTCTTTTTGCGCAAAAACCCCTTTTCCCACCATATCTGTATGCCCCAATAAAGGTGGTTTACCAGTCTGGCAGGAAAAGGGGTTTTTGCACAAAAAGAAAATGTCCTCACAACTCTTTTTCCGTAAAAACCCTTTGTGCAAAAACAGCTTGCATAAATTATGCAAATGAGGTGTGGTGAAATGCTAATCTGTGCCTTATTTGCATACTCACTGCCGGCAAAACCAGCAGTGTAGACGTAGCCTGAATGTTAAATGTTGTGACTTCCTAAAGAAATCTCATTGACTTTATGTAGTCCGGTAGCTTATCCTCTAGTAGTCCAAAGAAAAGGTCTTGCAAATAGAGCAGGAAATGACTATCTTGATGGTCAGTGCTGTGGCTGGGTGAAATACCTTTTTCTATCTCCCTGAGAGAGTTCAAGAGATGCTGTAACTTCTAAACTCTGCTGATTGCCAAAAAAAAAATCTGCCATGGACATGGTAGACTTCAATTAGAGTTGGCAAGTCAAAACAAGATTTTTCTGCCATTAAGTACAAGTTGGTAGTAGAAATTAGTATGTTTTTCTGTTTGGAAGTGGTCATTCAAATTATCGTTGCAGTATAATGCATCTGCCATGCTGAAATTTAGGTGGAGGGTTAAAGTTGTTTCAGTAAACTGAGTGGAATTGATACTGAACACACATCTGTGTGTGTCCTTATACTCACTATGCATTAGAACCCTACATACTATATATTTCAAATCTGTCTTCATTTAATAGTCCAAATACAATTGATCATCCTATTCTTAAACCCTTTTGTGATCAGTAAATTTAAGCCATGTCCTATATGTAAAGAAGAAAAAAGAAAAAAACCTAAATCCTTACCCTTAGCATTTCTGCTTGCTAACCAGGTTGAAGTTCTGTTTTTAATTGTCTCTACAGTGATAAATAACTATTTCTGCATGAACTTTTCTCTGATAAACAGATTTAGACTTAAAATATTGCAGAAATTTCCCCCAATTTAAAGAAAATGTTTTTATATGTGGTGGGTAACTAAACTGCCAAATGCAATGAAAGAGTTTTTCTTATAGGACTCTTATTTCTTTTGTAATATTTAAAAGCCCAATGGAATTATAACTGCTTGATAACAGAATAATACTGAATATGTTAACTTAATTTAATAAACCTTATTGCTAACACATTAGGAACATTTCTATTCATTATGAAGTAAGCTCACTCATTTATTGTATGCCTAGCGTAACAATATGTGCTTCATGCAGATTTTGTATGTTGTTGGTATATTTTTAAGTGATTTGTTTAGTAGCTGTGAAATGTTCATAATAAACATTGTTCAAAATGAAAACAGTTCACACTTTCATTTCATAAGAATTTAAAACATTGAGCGGGAGTATAGCTATAACAGTTTTAAAAATGGTAAAACAGAGCAGTTAGGAGGAATTTTAAACAGTCAAAGCTCTTACTGCTTAGTGGAAGACAGTCAGCTTTTTTTTGTAGTCATCAGCTCATCTTAGATACTTTTTTTGTTTATCCAATCATTTTTGTTGGAAACTTATGTGGAATCTCCACCACTGGAAATATTTAAGAACAGGTTGGATAGACATCTATCAGGGATGATCTAGACAGTGCTTGTCCCTGCCATGAGGTCAGGGGACTAGACTTGATGGCTTCTCGAGGTCCCTTTTATGAAATATAGAAATGACTTGCTGCTGGGGGGAAAAAAACATGAGACTGGCCTGACCCTGTACAGCCAATGAGCCAGCTAGTCAAATATCCTGTCTTCCAACAGAGGCCAATGCCTGGTAGTTCAGAGGAAATGAAGAGAACCAGGTTATCAAGTGATCCATCCCCTGTTGCACATTCCCAGCTTCTGGCAGACAGAGGGTAGGGACACTTCAGCGCATGATTTTGCATCCTTACCTGTCTTGGCTAATAGCCATTTATGGACCTATACTCCATGAATGTATCTCTTTTTAAGCTTGTTAATGGCCTTGGCCTTCACAATATCCTCTGGCAAAGAATTCCAGAGTTTGACTATGTGTTGCATAAAAAAATACTTCCTTTTGTTTGTTTTTAAATCTGCTCCCTATTTCATTTGGTAACCCCCTAGCTCTTGTGTTATGAGGGGAAGTGAATAACACTTCCTTATTTACTTGTTCCACACCAGTCATTATTTTGAAGATCTGTCATATCCCTCCCTTAGTTTTCTAATCTGAAAAGTCCCAATCTTACTAATCTCGCTTCATACAGAAGCTGCTCCATAAGACTGTTGCCCTTTTCCATACCTCTTCCAGTTCCAATATGTCTCTTGAGATGGGGTTACCAGATCTGCATGCAGTATTCAAGATGTGAGCATGTCTCTATATAAATTCAGGGTAATGTATTTTCTGTCTTCTTTATCCCTTTCTTAATGAGTCCCAACATTCTGTTGTCTCTTTTGACTGCCTCTGAGAGCTGTCCACAATGACTCCCAAGATCTGTTTGAGTGATAACAGCTAACTTTGATCCCATCATTTTATATGTATATTTAGGGTTGTTTTCCAATGTGCTTTACTTTGCATTTATCAACATTGAATTTCATCTGCCATTGTGTTGCCCAGCCATCCAGTTTTGTAAGATCCCCTCTTCAGTCTGCTTTGGACTTAACTACCAAAGTTTGTATCATCTGCAAATTGTGCCACCTCACTGTTTACCTGTTTCCCAGATGATTCATCAGTGTTGAACATCACTGTGAACACAAATGTCATGTTAGCAAGGGTATACAAATCTTAAATTGGTAAGAAAAGGCAGTGACCCAAACAGGTGCTGGGGTCATATTGCCTGCCCTGTACCCCCAAAAAGAAAAAACCCTGCAAAAACACAGTGCATTGTATATATTCATCTTTAGGCATGTGTAAGAAGCACATTATTTTGCTGGTGTACATTTTATTTATGGAAGTCAATAACTATTCTAATACAAACTGTTGTAAGAGCTTGTACATGCCCAAATGTGCTTGTTTAATAAATGAGACTTAAAGACTAGGAGTAGCTCTCTTTGTGTCAGCATAACGGTAGAAATACGTTTCTGGATGGTTATAATTTAGAGATGTTCCCTCCATAAGGAATTCTGGAGATGTGTCCTCCAAGTGGGGATTGCAAAATAGAATTGCCAACTGTCTAATGTCACAAACCAAAGTACCCCAGCTCTGCCCTTTCTTGGAGACCCTACGTCGTTCATTACATCCCCCTCCCTTATTTTCATTGGGCCAGGGCTTGGTGTAGGAGGGAGTGTGGGGTGGCGGCTCTGGGCAGGAGTTTGAGTACAGAAAAAGGTTTGGAGCTGGGGTAGTGGATTTGGTTGTAGGAGATGGTGAAGGGTTCAGGCTCCAGCTGGGCAGCATTTAGCCTCTGTGACCATAAGCTGCCCAAGGTACAGCAGGCTTCCTGTCTGCCCTGGCCCTGTGCAGCCCACTATTCCTGAACAATGGGAGCTGCAGAGTCAGTGCTCAAAGTGGGGGGAGCCCTAACTGCCTTGCACTGGGGCCACAGGAGCAGCAGAGGGCCAGAGCAGGCAGAGTCTGCCTTAGCCCCACTGCACCAGACTATTGTGTCTGAAAATCTCCCAAATGGGCTGCTGTAGCCTCTGGGAGATCAAACCCCATTCCAGGATACTTTGGGGTGAAACCTGGAGGGTTGGAAACCCTAACTGGGACCTCCACACAGGAAGTGCAGCAGCTCAATACAGAAGCTCTCCACTTTGTTAAAGTGTTATTTCTTTCCCATTCACTGGTTGATTATTTAACAAACCCCAAGATTGTTACATGGATGTCAGAAGTGCTGAATGAGGGAAACAGCAGTCATTTTACAGTTAACACCTGTCTTTGCCACCAAAAGGGAAGCACCAGGGAAGTATATGGAGCAACAAGCATAGAAGCTTTTGCATGTATCTACCTAACACTAGAATAGTTTCGGTTTTTCTAGCTTTAAAAGAGGGTGGGTGAGTCAAAAATGAATGTTGAGACATCCATCCAGTCTGCAATGGTCAGGCAATGTTGCAGAGAACTGAAAAAAAAATAAGTGATTTGAACTATATTTAGCAACCACAACGGCAGAAGAGAAAAATGATAAAGTGAAAGCATCATTTTTTTTAAATGTTTGGAAGGAAACAGTGGATATTTTTAACTATTTTAAGTTTGAAGGTGAAAGCCTGAAGTAAAAATACTGACTACATTTGAGGAGCTTCACATAACAAAAAAATAAATTGAGATACGTTTTTATATGCATGCAAAAAACTGTTGATACCATAAAGCAATAGGTCACACTAAAAAAAAAACAACCAGAAACAAATAACTCATACAACATGATTTTAGTGAGCTGATAGTCTTTGGCCAGAGACAAAATGGTTGGTAGTGTTAAAGATGTGTTGAGAAAGAGACTGCTCTCTGAAGACTTCATTGCAGAAAAAGCTTTCCAATTATGCAGGGCAACAGAAATGGCAAAAGCATAAGCCAAAGAGTTGAATTCACCAGGAGCTCTCCTCTCCTAAGTGGAAAATATAGCCAGAATAGGTCAAATCAAAGAGTGGAACCATTTTCTAGAAAAAACACTGCTTGGGGGATAAGTGGGCACAGATGGTTATGTAGAATATGTGCATCACAGCATAGCCCAAACAG